AAGATTTACCCTGACCTGTGTCATGTGCTTGCAGTCTTAAGGACTTGCGAGTTCAAGGCCATTCTGGGTTTTATGGTTTTATTAGTTCTTTTGCTTTGTTTTAAAATGTCACTTCTATTAGGGTAAGAAAAGTCATACCAGGAATTAGGGCATTTAATATGGTTTAAAGTTATGTATATTGTTGGCTTATTGTTTCTGTAAGGAGACCTTATAATGTGCATTTAAAAAAAAATTGAGTAGGTACATTGGTTTCAGGGCTAGCAATATACTTTAGTTGGTAGATCACTTACTTAGCATGTCCAGGCCCATAGGTTTGAGCCCCAACACCACCAGAAAAAATGTATACTGTAGTTTAAATACCTAGTATCTTTGACAGTATCCTGGATGTTGAGGTGAGGGTCAGTGTTAACTTTGAGAGGGCGAAATGTCGGCAGTGCCTAAAGCCTGAATGCTTTCACATCCTGGACATGAAAACCAAGGGTCAAGAAATTTGAAGGCATTAGTTCTTTTGCTTTGTTTTTAAGTGTCATTTCTATTAGAGTAAGAAAAATGATACCAGGAATTAGGGCATTCTGTGCATTTAATATGGTTTAAAGTTGTGTATGTTGTTGGCCTATTGTTTCTGTCACATTTTTCTTTATTTTTTTTAAATGCTGGGCATTAAACTCAGAACCTTGGGCTTGCTAATAAGCACATGCTTATCACTGAACTATGTCTGTAGCCCTATTATGGTTTTATCTGTCAAAATGATTTGTCCTTTGATGGAAGGAGCTAGCGTTCCTTTCTCTCATTGATCACTTGTTTACTGAGGTTTTGTGTCTCTGACAGGTGAAGAAGATTGTTGAGGAACCTGTTCTCAAATCCTTGGATGCTGTTATAGCCAGTGTGATGGAGGTATGTCTCCTCTGAGGGCATTACCACTGAATCAGCCTAATTTAAATATCTGCAGGGAGAAAGTAGATAAGTTCATGTAGGGGATGTAGTTAAAAGGTTTAGCAGCAAGTTTTCAGCTTAACTTAATCACAGTCCTGTGTAGTAATATTACACCTGTCACCAGAACTCTTGTATAATTGCTGGCTCTTTTAAATGTCTCGCAGTACTTCTGACAAGTTGTCTATCTCTCCTTTCCGCAGCTGGAAAGTGGAGAGGTTCTTTGGGGCTCACTCATCCCCATTACACACGCTGGAATCTGGGAGTCCATTCAGGTCTTTCTGACTCTTTAAAAAAATCTTATTTGCTCCCGTGGTGCTTGCTAATCTGCTTCTGTGGGCTGACAGCTACAACTTCTAGGCATATATAAGCCCTGGTTGTTAAGCAGAAGCAATGTATATGTGGGCAGCTTTTGTCTCTCACATATTTGGAGCCAAGGTTCACTGTTCTACATACTTGTGAAATCATTAGATGTGTGTGCTGGGAGGTCCTACAATCTCAAGGAACATTTGAGTCAGATCCCCTTTTGAGTGTGATGATCCAGAGATTGTTATTTTCCAGGTTGATTACTGCCATAGGTCTGTGATAGGCCCAGATTTTTATTTAAACCTAGTGTGAGTTTTCTGTCCTTACTTTCATGTGCAGTGGAGCTCAGGTATAAAGCAAAGAAGGAAATACTAGAGACTTTTGCATGCTATAGACCAGTGATGGCAAACCTTTTAGAGCTTTCAGTGATATAAATGGCCCACTGTGGCCCTCATGCCATAGGTTCTACTACAGACTGTTTCACCTTCTCCCTGCACCTGTGGGCATATGTCAGTGTATGTCCTGGGTGTGGACACCATGTGACTGTGGGACTCGAAAGCTCTCAGGTTTCACACTTATATTATCTTAGCTTGTGGAGTCAGACCTCTGAGCTTCTGTTCTGTCTCCCAGTCTCCATTCCTCATCTTTGCTATGCAAGGCTCTTGTGTGGAGTGTGTGAGGTGATGCTCAAGAAGACATTATTTGGCTTTCCTCATGATAACGCACCCTGCTTTCTCCATGGTGTTCTTTTATCTTTATTTATTTTATTTATTTATTTTTTTGCAATCCAACTCATGACCTTGCACTTGCCAGGCAGGCGCTTATGTCTCTGAGCTAAATCCCAGGCCCATGTTCTTTTATCTTGTTTTTTCTTCTGTTACTTGAAAAGCTCATTCTGCAGAGCCAGTTTCTTCTTCCTCACTTTTACTTTTTCAAATAAACTTTTTCACTGGTTTTAAAAAAAGATATTATGTGCAGGTCCCTTTGATAACAATTAATAAGAGCTCTTATTATTAATGCTTACCAGAAGGGTGATGTGATTCTCATACCTTTCACATTATTCTCATTCTGCACGTGATCCTTCCCTCTCCCTGGGATTCACTCTTCACCAGCCACATGCAGCATACTGCTTCTTGCCTACCAGCCTCTAGCCTTTTTAAACTGCCAATGTAAAGATACTAGGGACTGCCTCTTAAGTCATTAGACCTTGCGTGAAAAATTTCCCTAGTGCTATATATCAGATTAGATTGTAAAAAAATAACTTAAAGTAAGTTTTAATTATAGAATATGAGGGAATCTGAAGATATCCTGGACTTAGTATCCACCTTCAGAATGGTGGGCAAGGTAGTCTTCCTTAGTCTAGTGGCTCCTGTGTTACCTTTAAACTTTTCTACTTCCCATGTCCCTGTTCTGGCTGAAGATGGTGAAATTCCTGCTACAGAAGGGCTGCTGTTCTTTGAGGATGCACATGACTGCTGTCTGTTGGTATCAGTCCATGAGCTCCTGTTTTCCTTGGCCTGATTCTTAAGGGAGTGAAGAGAGTAATTAAAATGTTTGAGTGATGAGTCGTAATAAAAGGTTGCTCAGTTTAGATTGCCAAGTCATGAATGTCAGAGTTACTTGTCTGGGCCTCCACTCATAAGAGTGCTGGGCACTCATAAGAGTTTCTGATCTATGGTCATGTGTTTGTATCCTTCGTAGGCCAACCCCAGTGCTGATCTCTACTATACAACCTTCAGTGATCCCCTCTATCTGACCATGTTCAAGATGTTGCGTGACACCCTTTATTACATGAAAGGTGAGGAATATTGGCAGTTACTTGTATGAATATGGGGATGGGAGTCCTGACACAGTTGTATACTGGTGTTTGCCTAGTGCATTGGCAGCTACTCCCAGCTACTTGTGGGGAGGATGACTTGAATCTAAGAGTTCAGTGCTGGCCTGTACAACATAGTGAGACCTATCTTTAAAAAACAAAAATGGAAACAAAACACTCCACATGTGAGCAGCATGGTTACATGACTGAAAGTTGGGGAGAAAATAAGGGAAAAAAATCTGTCCATGAGCCTGTGATCTAGTACTGCCAGTGATTTCTTCTTCTTCTTTCTTTTCTTCTTTCTTTCTTTTCTTCTTTCTTTCTTTTCTTCTTTCTTTCTTTCTTTTCTTCTTTCTTTCTCTCTCTCTTTCTCTCTCTTTCTTTCTTTCTTTCTTTCTTTCTTTCTTTCTTTCTTTCTTTCTTTCTTTCTTTCTTTCTTTCTTTGTCAGAGTCTTGTTATGTAGTTTAGGCTGGCCTTGAAGTCACTATGTAACCCAGTCTGGCCTCAAACTCCCAGCAATCATTCTGTCATGATTATAGGCATGTGCCATCTAAGTGCTGGGATTTTAGGCAGTATACTACAATCTGAGTATATAAAACACATAAAAGGGCTGTATTATCACTGAAATTGGCTCAACTGATAATAGAAAATATTTGTGATATGAAAAAAAGAAAAAGTTGTAAGTAACAAGATCAGGACAAAACTGGTTGCAGCCTGAAGGAAAAAAGTGGTAGGATGCTTCCTTAGCATGCATGAAGTCCTTAGTTTAATCCCCAGAACTGTCAAAAAACAGTATAAGAGCTGGTGAGATAGCTCAGTGGTCTTAAGTGGCTGCTTAGGCAAGCACAGAGACTGGGGGTCGATCCCCAGCACCACATGCTGCACTGGCCTCACCCCTGGGCGCACTGAGCTGGCCACCAAGTCCTGCATGGTGGTGTAGCCTGTAATCCCAGCCCTGGGGAGGCTGAAAACAGGAGGATTACTACAAATCTAGGCTGTGTAGTGAGACCCTGTACCAAATACTTAAACAAAAAGAATGTAACACCAATAAAAATTTACAAAACGTAAAGTATTGCTTTGATCTTCCCAGGAAATTATTATTTCCTGATTGCAAGGTAGTATACATGTAGAGGATTTCCCACAGCCTGTCCAAACTGTTTCAAGCAGATGTTCTTGGAACTATAGTAGTTAGCACCAAACATTCCCCTTCTTTTTATTAAAGAGGGAAAGATCATAGCCATTGATAGCCACTGCCTGTTTTCTGGTACAGTTTTGTTTCCAACTTTGGTATCTGCTCTCTTTGCCACAGACCTCCCTACTTCTTTTGTGAAAGAAATTCATGATTTTGTGCTAGAGCAGTTCAACACAAGCCAAGGAGAGCTCCAGAAAATTCTACATGATGCAGATCGGATTCACAATGAGCTGAGCCCCCTCAAACTGCGCTGCCAGGCAAACGCTGCCTGTGTGGACCTCATGGTGTGGGCTGTGAAGGATGAGCAGGGTGAGCCTGAGCTGCCCCCCCCCCCCAGCAATGCAGAAAGTCAAACTTCTTTCCTCCCTCTGTGAGCTCTGGGCATGTCGTCCCAGTATGTTTCTACCCAGAATGAGTCTGAGAATGCTGGGCTCTGTTGGTAGCACAGGCAGTCACATTAGGAGTGGCCCCTTCCTGGGCACATGCGGAGCTGAGCATAAGATCCTGCCATAGTCTTGACATGTGCTGTCCTGTCTTATGGTGGAGGGCCCTGGACCTGGGAGGAGGGAAAATACCTAACTCTGTAGGGCTGTATATTGTCTTTGCTACTTCTTGGTGGTTCTTTAGACTCAGCTAGAGGATCAAGGTTATATCCAGGGGAGGAGTGGAATAGAAAGCATTCTTACAGAGTGGGACCCTGAGACGAGGGTGTAGGACCAGCAGAGAATAGTAGCATACATAGCAGGATGCTTGCCTTCATCGCTTCTCAGCCTTTTGGCTAAGATCAAATGTAGGATGTTTGCCTTCAGACTTCTGGTGAGGTTGCTTGGTATTAATAAACCCACAATACGTGTGTCTTTGGTTTAATTGAATTATGTGATTAATGAGGGAGATAATATTTTGTAAGTACTGGGCTTTGTTGATCATTTGTACCCTCCTGATTTTGAACTAAGGTGCTGAAAATCTTTGCATCAAGTTATCTGAGAAACTGCAGTCCAAGACATCCAGCAAAGTCATCATCGCACATTTGCCCTTGCTTATCTGTTGCCTACAGGTCAGTCCTACTGACGCTTGAGACATTGATTCCCATCCATAGGGTGTCCCCCTTATCATGTTGCTGAGGCTGTAGTTTGTTTGCCAATAGCAGAGACTGAGGATCATGTAGTCTGAGTTCTTAGGAACTTTGATTAGGGTCTGCTCTGGACACAGTTCACCACTGAGTATGGTGTGCCCTCTACAGGTTGCCAAGGATTTCTGTAAGTGGCATCCAGAAGCAGCTAGCCTCAAAGGAAGCTTCAACTTCTCCCTTGTTATAAGGCTGCCTCAAATCTGCTGGCAGTGCCTAAGTAGCAGGTAGATGGCTGTGGACATGTGCTAAAGGGCCTCATGGAAAGATATCTTTGTCCATAGTGCTTAGTTCTACTCTGCTGAAACTCCGATGCAAATCCTACTGCCTCTATATGTCCTGTTATTTAAAGAACATGTGTTGTACCTTTTCTCCCTTGTTTCCAAAAGAAATGAACACACTTTAATGTTATGTATTTACCTTGGTTGGAGAAGAATTAACATCAATCCTCTTTCCTGTCTGCCTCATGGCCAAGTGGCCTCCAGGAGCTTTGACCTTAGACATTTTGATCAATCTTGGAAATTGTAAAGTTGAGGATATCAAGATTTGGGCTCTCCTTAGATAGAACCTGCAGGGCTACATTATGGGTTGATATCTGTTTCAGGGCTTGGGACGCTTGTGTGAGAGGTTCCCAATGGTAGTGCATTCTGTGACGCCATCCTTGCGAGACTTCCTGGTCATCCCGTCCCCAGTGCTGGTGAAGCTCTATAAGTACCACAGTCAATACCATACAGGTAATGGATGACGACAGCTAGGGTCTTATCTCCAGCATATAGCCCCTATGTACTCTTGAGGCCCTTTCAAGAATGTGAACCCATACAAGTTTTGTGACTATTATTGGGCCAATTCCTCCTCCTCACCATTTTTTCTGCCTTTCCATAAATGGCCCTTCTCTGGGGTTTGATCCCCCGCACCACAGGTTGTAAAGGCCCCACCCCAGGTGTGCTTATCCAGCTACCAAGACCAGGTATGGTGGAATCCCAGCACTTGCGAGGCTGAAAACAGGAGGATCACTATGGGTCTGAGCTGTGTAGTGAGATCCTGTACTAAATACCACTAATAAATAAATAAGTAAATAAAGTCCTTATTCCTTGAGTCCCAGATCTTTCTCTGCATTCCTAATCCTGCACTCCACCTTACCTTTTTTATTTATTTATTTTTCTTTCCTTTTGGCATTTTCTCTCACTGTGGGAGTCTGAAGTATAAGTCCTACATGCCCCATTGCTAGCCAGTAGCTTCATGTGCACTGCCTCATCTGGTCACATCACCCTGTGAGAGGACATAGGCTCAGAGGAGATCTGGTGATATAATAGTTATCCCTATTAAAAATTGTCTGTGTTCAGAAAGCAGTAATGTAGTTCTGTTCATCTTACCTGTGGTCCCATGAAGGTGGGCATTTTTATTTTTTCCTTTCAGATAAACCCAAACTCAAGAGCAGTTGACTTTCCCCAGACCTCATAGTGGGGAGAGGTTCCATTTTTATCTGCTCTTTGTGTGATAGTTAGATCCTTCCTAAGCCCAGGACTATCAGAGCTGCATTCATGTGGTTGCTTGTCAGTATTTCTGAATGATTAAGAAATTGCCGCATTTACCCGTTGCTCACTTTGTAAACTAAGTATTCTCCTCACTTAAACACATTCCCTTCATCCTTCCTGTTGGTCTTAGAGTCTTTTACTTTTGAAGTATTTGGTTAGATGTTTTTAGAATGTTTGCTTTTATAAGCTAAAGGTGTTTGGACAACAAAGAAGGGGATGGAAAGTGAAAACTGAATCAGACACAGATTTGAACTTTTACATTTAGTTGCTGGCAATGATATAAAAATCAGTGTCACCAATGAGCATTCTGAGTCAACCCTGAATGTCATGTCGGGCAAGAAGAGCCAGCCCTCCATGTATGAGCAGCTCCGGGACATCGCCATTGACAACATCTGCAGGTGGGAGGCAGTATAGCGGGAGGTCTAATCTGGGAGGGAGGAAAATGGTGTTTGAGACAGAGGCCTATTACAAGACAAGGAAATTGATAATTTTTAAATTGTGGTGTTTAAAGCCCCCCACTTTTCCAATAGAAGAGATTTAACTCAGGGCTTTCACATTGAGGTATGTTCCAAACATACATGTATGTTAAGGAATAGTATAAGAAATTTAACACTGGAAGTTGAACAAAGATGATATTTTGAAGAAAACTGTTGTGGGGAAAATTACGAAGTTATTGACTTAGATATTTATTAAGTGGATAAAATCTGTAGTACTTTGCATAGTGATCTCTCAGTGTTATAAGAAAAGGAAAATATAACTGAAAAGCCCCATCTCACTGGTCAGATGCCTAATGTCATGTGGGTTTCCTCACTGCTCAGGTGCCTGAAGGCTGGCTTGACAGTAGATCCGGTGATTGTGGAAGCTTTCCTGGCCAGCCTGTCAAACAGGCTCTACATCTCCCAGGAGAGTGACAAGTATGTTCTTCCCTATCCCTCAGGGGCAGCCAGTAGGCTCAGGAGGGATACCTGACACTTTGTATGTCTGTGCCTTTTTCACAGGGTTTTCATAGGTTTAAGGTATGACTTACTCAGAATGTACACCTTGAAACACTATGTAAGAGTCTTCTAGCATAGTGCCACAGGCTTTGTGTTTTTTGCTGGTTAAAAGTCCTGGGCTGTCATTGCAGATGAATGTTTCATCAAGATTATGGTGAAATTGAGGTCTAGATCATTACCCCTTGGTTTTATTTCATGACTTCATGCCAGAGGACTGTTCCTAAGTTGCCTCTGTTCTTCCCTCCTGTAGGGATGCACACTTGATTCCTGACCACACCATCCGTGCCTTGGGACACATTGCAGTGGCTCTGAGGGACACCCCAAAGGTCATGGAGCCAATTCTGCAGATTCTGCAGCAGAAGTTCTGCCAGCCCCCCTCGCCCCTTGATGTGCTCATCATTGACCAGCTAGGCTGCTTGGTTATCACTGGAAATGTAAGAAAGGGTTTGGCAGTGAGGCCAGTGCTGTAAAACCCTGTGCAAGGGTTTTAACCCAAGGGTTCCTTAACCTTCTAAGGAATGGAAAATTGCTGAGTAAATTTATCTTGCAGCTGAGCTAAATGCTCTCAAGTATTTCAATACTGAGTAGCGAGAGAGTGTAATAGTCCATGAGTACTTGGGAAAAGCATGTTCAAACTAATACCTTGTCAATTTTTAATGACATAAATAGGAATAAGGTAAAAGTGCTTTCTTGTTAACTTTTAATTTGATGTTTGCTTAAACCTTTAGAAATGAATGCCTGGGGCTGGGGAGATGGCTCAGTAGAATAAGCACTTTCCTGGCAAGCGCAAGGGCCTGAGTTCAATCCCTGGTTGTTCCACCAAAAAAAAAAAAAAAGAAAAA